CAAAATGGGTACCGTTAAGTTGCCACATTCTGGTTTCGTACCCGTGAAACAATGCAAATATGCAAATGCAGGATGCACGGGGATGATGAAAGAGCGTCTGCGCGGCAGTCACATGCAGTCACAACTTTGTATAGAGCAAACAAACTCTGGGCTCCCAGGACACCATCTTAGTTTTAGGATGACATTCAGTGTCCTTCGACATTTGGCTACATGGCTAGATCCAGCCGACCCAGTTGCACAAACCTTTGGCAAAACACGGGAAGCAAAACCAAAATTTAAGGCTGTCTTAACTGAATGATTCTTCCTGGACTGCAAGTGGTAGCTTACACCAGGTATGGCTTCAATCATGGCTCAAGTATGACAAGCTCTGGCCATGTTATGGGATCAGGTTATTTCAAAACATAGTGTTATATATATATATTATGTATAAAATTTTACCTCATCCGCTCGCAGCTGATAGAATCTTGACACCCCGCAAGAGCATCAAGGAAGCCAATAGTCTTGGAGAGTGTTAAGGAACACTACAGATATGATATGTGGCTTAATTGTGCAGATTCTTGCGCACTGTTACAAAAAGCAGCAAAGGGCTTGTAGAGGAAATGGTCTTTCGCTACCTTCAGGTTTCTGTGTCAATCTTCGAGGGCGTAAAACTTCCAAGTGGGGTGGGGCACTGCCAGCGGCAAAAGCGAAAGCACGCCTGCTCAGCAGTGTCGAATCTCAAGCTCAGTGGGGGCTGATTGGGTGCCTCAGACCAGAGGTCGATGTAGAAATGACCTGATACTCCTCTATGTAATTCGGAAGCTTCAATGCAATTCTATGCAATATAGGACATAGGATGATATAGGATTGTGTGGCCCAAAACCAGAAAGTATGGGAGAGCGTGCCCCACGAAGTCTAGTGCCCATAGCCCATGTCTAATTATGGTTTCTTGTCAAGAAGTCCCAACAGGATAATGGTAAAATCGGTTCACCCCATGGAATCAAGAATGGCAACCAAAACAATGGAGGACACATGTGGACGACCTCGTTCCTCAGGAATCACCCTTGGCACCCGTGTGTCCAAGAATTGTCGTGAAATCAAAGTACCCTGCTATGTCTGCTCATCTCGTGTGCAAATGCCTGAGACCTTGGTGTGCAGTATTGTGCAGTGGTGTCAACATGTATCAACAAGTTGTGGTGTCTCTGCATACTACATATGAGTGTTTTGGATCATAGTGCCTCCTGCAGGCCCAGAGCCCAGTAGGCCTCAGTAAGCGTCCCTGGGTGAATGACGGGTTCCTTGTTCGGCCACGCTCGTCTCCCTACCGATTCGCCCGGAGCCCGGAGCCGAGCGACGGTGATCTCCACCAAGCCTGGGCTCTGGATGACCTGAATGGACTGAGCCGGCGAAGGACTGAACAGCCAGATGCTCAGTCCGGTTAAGACACGAAAACGTTGAAGGCGTCATGCCCAATAGATCTCCATTGAGAGGGGGTTCTTGCACCCAGTAGATGTCCATAGAGCCTCAAAGGCAGGGGTATGGTGTCAAGAATCCATTGGGCTTTGTAGAGTTGGAACCAGGATGACGAGCCGACAAAAAGGTCGGCTTGTAGAGTTCTTCAGAACCTATAAATGTTCAGACCCGGGTTGTTTTGCTTGTGTGGCACCACCAGTCAGAGCAACAACTCCTTTGGTAGAATCAACTTCCTCTCAGGCTAGGCTGCATGTTTCGGCAGACATAGCTGCCTCAAGCTAAGACAACTGCTGCAAAGCACCGATCTCTTACCACTTGTACATTGTCTGATTGTGCGTCCGGTTCGAGCATCAAAGGTTTTACGTGGTTCTTTTTGGATGAAAGGGCCATCCTTATCGTCGATATGGTTGTACTTGCTAACAAACCCAGCTGTTCCCAAAAACATGACTCTCGCAAACCATTCACAAAAACATCCTGAAAGGCCTCCCTCAAACCCAAGGTCCATCAAGGCCCCAAGCCACTTGGGCATTCTTCAGCATCCTCGCTTACAGACGCAAGCGCCGGCCATTTCACGGGCTGGATTTGTGCTAGCATGTGCTAGCTATGATAGTAACCGAACATTGACTGATACTGAGTGTCGAAGAAGGAAAGTTGAACATGGGAGAGCAAGTGCCAACATGACAACTATGGAGTAACTACCGCCGATGGCTGTTCAAGTGCCTTAAACAATCTCAAACATCTCTCTGTGGACCCCTGCTAGTGACTGCTAGTGATTCCTGCCATTTGTGATCGAAGACACCTCTCGATGAGTTGGACCCACCGTGGAATTCTCGGATGTTGAGTCGGTAAAAACTGATTCTGGTCACACATATTACCAAAAACCATGTATGCAGAATTGGATTGAGGTAGCCTCGTGGACAGAGAAGGGCATGGTTTCTGAATGTGTCAAGCAACTCCGTGATGGACATGTCACCGGAAGAATGGACGTGTCCCAAGTGACTGCCCCATCTGGTCCATCGTCCATCGTCCTCACGCTCGAAAGCTTTCCAGTCCTGCGGACTGTGGGCAAATCCAGGTCTGGAATGACGGGAAAATTGGGTCGTCGCGTTTGAAGTGAGTGAATGATCTGAATGATTGAGAGAAAGGTGTTGGGGTTTCACATATGTTTGCTTCCATGCTTTTGGATTGCATAGATCGACAGGCCTCTTTCCGTCGGAGGTCCAGAAAGTTGGGCAATTGTCAGTCACTGATTTGAGTGTCTTGTTGATATTCTTTGATGTACTGTGGTACAGGAACTGATGTCGGTCGGCTTCCCATCGAGATTCTCTGCAAGCAAGGACCAAGCCTGCTAATGTGTTGATGATATACTTCTAGTGTTTTCGACAGCCAGTCGCTATATACTAGGGAGATGGAAAGCAGGGCCACGAGGTAGAAACCCTGGTCTCCACAGATATTCCTATTAGTTTAGCAATCAGGGTGCGTTCAAAGAGATGCAGAAGTAGCCTCCAGTGGAAATCATGTGTTTGATCCATGATATTCTGCAACAACAAATTGATGATGGCTCTGGAAGAAAGCAACAACGACCGAGCTACATTTGTTTAAATGCACAGGCGTGTTTTGGTTTGTTTTCAGTATTTTGTCAAAAAAAAACTACTGCAAATACTGTGTTTTCGTTGTTTATATCGGCATTAAAACTCACAGGCTACAGGATCACTGCAATCCAACATATCATAACATATCTTGTAGATTGTTGATAGGTTCGGTAACATCGAAAGAAACACTTGGCTGGGTGTTTTGTCGCTCTGGAAATTGTGGGTTTCGCAATTTCTTCTTCAGCACTCGACCACTAACCTTGCTTGAGCAGCTGGTTTTACCTCGCGTCTCCATTTCGGTGCAGCTTTGGCCCCAACTCAAGTTCTGCGATTGACACATGCACCAGCTCTGCGACGTGGTGTAACACAATGTGGCATGGTCGTTACAATGATGAAGACTGGTCGGTAAAAACTGAATAATACAATAAACATGCAATCTCTCATCAAGTTCGGTGACATGATCATTGCAGTGTGGGATCTTTGTACAATTTTATACACCACCACAAAACAGCGTGTGGTCACATATCCAGCATAATGATGCACAGTATCTCCATGTATGTTGCCCGGATGTAATACCAAACCACAGTAGTTATGTCTTCCCTGAACCAGGTCGGGAAGAAGAACTCGAACAACTCCCTCACGACCTGGGTCGGGTCGCCAATAGCGTCGCCAACTGTGACCTCTCACAGGGGAACAAGGAGGGCCACTGCCACAGTCCAGGACCCAAACAAGACTATATAGCCCCAACAAGACTATATAGCAATTAAGTTAAGGAAATGGACTTCCATGCAGTTTGCTACAAACTGCGTACCCACTTAAGGAGGCTGTTCAGGGAGATATCTGGCACCTAACTTTATTGAAATGATAGTTCGATGGGCCACCCTGCACCGCGACAGAAAATCTTGGAGAGTCCAAAACACGTTGACAAAGAATTGAAACTACATTTGTTTCAAGAGAATGTCCACATCGAGCTTGTCGGAGCTCTTGTAAAACTTGCTCACCAAATGTTCTTTAGACCAAGCTGTCCTAAGATGAAATGTTCAATACATGATGCTTTACCGTTTACCGTGTTTACTTGAATAGAGACTAGTGACTGGGGCAACTGTAGGTTGGCACATTGGCACCTGTGTGCCCAAGGTCGCGTGCGACAGCAGAATCAGGCGAGAACCAAAGAAGGGTTATGAAGGCAATTCCTTGTTTGTTGAATGGATAATGATTGAAAAAAAAAAGTGAGCAGTACGAGTAACATGGATTCATGCAGTTCTCCCATGAAAGCATGTTTGGTTTGTCCCAGTTTAGTCAAGTTGATGTTGCGTGCAGTTGTAGATCCTTTAAACGCCCGGGACCTGGTCATGGCACCGGTCCGCACATGAGCAGGTCCGGCAGCATCAACTCCAAGTTGTGAGTCAAAAAGGGAAAAGCCAAGCATTTGAACCTATACAATAGCGCCCAACACTAGACAAGACGATCACCCAACAAAACCAAACTCATAAATATCAACTCATACTAGAAACCAAGCTTTTCATACTGGGCATGCATCTGCAAGACTCTGTCAAAACCATCACCGGGAGGGGTGCTGGCTGAATTAACAAGACGCCTTAACCAAATGAAAACAACGGCGATCTCAAGCTGGAACGCTTGTGAGATCTTGTGAGCGTGTAATGCGTGTAATTTCTTCAGCTGGAGCACGGCCATGATGGTTACATGACCACCATGCTAGGGTTCTTTGGAGAACCACCAGTCACCATTCCTTGGAATTGGCCCTTGAAAACCACTGACTCTCTCTACTCGATTACAATGGCATCGGTGAAGTCCAAGAAACCCTCCAAAAAACTCGGCCAAGTGGTGTGCGGCAGTTCTTTGGCCGCACCCAGGCACAGGTCGTCCCGGACCATTCAAGAGCCGGAGACAGGGAAACCCAAAGAACAACTATGACATTGACTGACCAAATTGATTGGCTCTTCCAAAGGTTCTTAGTCACAACTCACAATAAAATACAATAAAGAGTCTCTGGCTATTTAAAGTTTGCAGCCGGAAGGCACACAGAGCCTCAGGCAAATAAGTAAGAGGAGAATGGACGAGGTAGAACATGATGTGCTTCATCTGGAAACACACATGTGCAGCACGGCAGCTTGGCAAATGCCAGGTATCAATACCCGGCCACTGTTGTGGTGCCATTGGTCCAAGACTAAGCAATGCCACCAGAATTAGCTTCTTACATAGTGCTCCATTCCCTGAGTGATTACAACAAAAATATAACTCAGCTCTGGACCTACCATCTGTGCAGTCTGGACCAGCTGGAGACACCAAACCGTTGCAGGGAAATAGCTTCTCAACCCCAGACTTTGCGAGACCAAACGAAATGTCTGGCTTGCTCCATGGGTTCCCAAACTGGGCCTGGCCACGGGCAGCAGAGCTTGCCCTCGCAATTTGATCGAGCAAGGAACTTGTCAGAAGCCTGTTGGACCACGAAACAGATCCACAAATATATGAACTGCTGTTTGTTTCCTGAAGTGAGCAACAATACTTATTCTTGCGAAGGAGGCCTAGCCAGTAGATGTACAGGAGGGATGCAATCTAAAAGGCGAGTACCATCAAATACCCAAGTACTTTGAGAATCATCCATTTACTTGTCATCCGGAAACAAACAGGGAACTTCTCAGTTGGCTGCCTAGGGTAATGTATTCTTTCTAATTCGCACCCTTGTGCACATGTATCTTGTGGTTCATTTTGCTGGATGGCCCAAACATTCAAGCACAAGGGTATAAAACCAACAAGTGAAAAGGTACGGTTAGCATATATATATATATATTATACAATCTTCCAGCGCTTCCAGACCCTTATGGGGTCAGGTTCTTCTTTGGGTTATCTAGTCTCTGTCTTCTATCGCCGTTGCAACTAGGATGAGATCCCCATCTGTTTCCCAATAATGTCCGAACATGACAGTGACCTGCCTGGGTCCTCGCGTGTGCAGGTTGCAGGGCAAAGGTACCGGCAGCTCCTGGTTCGCTGAAATCGGGTTGAATGGATTTAAGAGGGCTTTAATGAAAGAAAACAGAAAGTCGGGGCCTGGCTCGAGGATCACTCCTAAAGAAAACTGCCATAAACCTGCCATACTTGATTTCTTCCAACGTTGCAGGAGATGTGCGGCGTTCTGGTAGTGACACCGTACTTTTTCAGAGATAACACGTTACAAGTATCATTCAAAACCTCTGCAAATGTCTCCATGCACGTGTATGCACTCATACCTATCAGATCTATCACATACCTTTTGTTGCAACAGATTGCCTGGTGGTATGAGGCCAGTAACAAGGAAACCATGATCCAGTAAGACTGCTTCGGTTGTTTTCCAGTTTTCCAGTTTCCTCATATGCATTTGGGAGTGGCCAAACCCTGCGGCAAGGTGCCTTGTTTGGACGTGTAACATTCCAAATTTCAGCTGAGGCCTCTTCTGCCGATTGCATCGACACACTGGCAGTGAACGAAACTATGTAGGGGTTGGTTATGTTTATTGCCCTTCCTTATTTCTTGATTTCGTTCCTTCCTGCCTTCTTTCTTTCGCTGAAAAGTGTACATAAGGGTTTCCTCTATCTGTGAACTGAAATGGTTGCTGTCCCTGCACACCGTGAGTCTTGTTATATAATGTGATCTGCCGCTGGGTCCAGATGCCAAATTACTTCGAACTGGAGATTCACTTTCTCTGCGACATCCAAGGTCTCTTTGACGTGGTAACAAAGAACACACGACCCCAAATCTAGCGCGATTCTCCCCTGCTGAAGAGTATCAAGAATCAAGAACTCCAGTGTTCCTCCTTGCCCCTTCACATCAGTGTTTGCTTCCCTCAATCGCTTGGATCCAGTTTTTTCACGAGTGTCAGTCATCTTGCTAAATCTTCTATGACTTGACCTGTTACAATGACATCTAGTAAAAACAGATCGATTCTTGAAGAAAACAGGCAAAGATCAATTCGATGGTTGAAGAATTGATCGCGAGTAGCCCTGCTCCTTTCAAAAATGAGGTTCGGTCACAAGTGTTGTCTTGTGGTCTTTTGTTCGCTATTTCAAATCTAGGATCAATACAAGAAAGGCATTTTGGATGGTTCTTCATATCGATTGTTTTCCCTTTCTTATAACTGTGTCATCAGTCATCAGTATTTTCTCGTCACACCTCCACAGATTAAAAAAACAGAAGATATTTGAGGTAGAAAATAGTACATATGATCCAAGAGTCTGCCTCTCTACAGAATAGGCCACCTGCAAAGCCCTGCTAAGTATATAAATTGTTTAAAACATTCTGATCTCGTGGTCCAATCAAGGGCAGTGTGTCTGGCTTCACGCTGCTTCGCACAAACCTCAGCGACCAGGGCGCTGCTTCTGTCTGCGCCCCTCGCTTCCCAACCCGCTCCAACAGCAGCGAGGAAGCAAGTTGGCATTCGGCGGCCGATAGGCCCAAAAGCAAAGCCTCAGAAACAAGTGCCCGGACGCTAGTAGAAACAAGTGCCACGCTACTAGTAACAAGTGCCTTACTAGTAGTAGCAAGGACGCTATTAGAAACAAGTGCCCGGTCCTCGAGGATCCCTTTCGGATGTATGGGACGGATGAAAAAAAAGGAAGGTGTTAACATGTGTTAACTGATAAAACGCCATCCATGAATCTTGGTACCCAATAAACAGGCTAGTCCAAGATAGTATTATATAATATACACACACATATATATATGTATCAAAATATTGTGGTCTACACATGTCTATACTGGGTTAAGGCATGTTAAGGCCATCACCAATCCAACAGGTTAACTTGAATTATGCGATTCACCAATTGTGGCAAACTGCCATAAAGCTCCAGCTACTGATTCACGGGCATATCTCGAGATCAACAACCTCAAGGTCACCATAGGTCACCTGTAGGATGCTGGCCAAATGGACCCGTCACGCCTATGCCTGGCCCAAGGGCAGTTTGGTGTCTGCTCTTCGCACTTGTAAGGCCACCACCAGCAGCCACTCTTGGGACATTGGTTGAGAAACAAGAGCAACCCGAGTTGGAACATCCGATAAGCAAGGCGAGTGGTGGCCCAGACATCATTTTCATACTAAGGGTACTCCAGTCACTTAAAACATCATTCACACCCCTGTACTAAGTATACTGTTTTGCTTACCTTTTGGAACGCTTTCAGCTGCGTCCTGCAAATCGCAAGCCAGCTGCTGGTAGACATGCGGCATACCTGAGCAAGAGAAGAACAAAGCACGTGGAGGTTATAAATGTTTCTAAGCCAACAGTTGCTTGGACAATGGAGGGTTGAATTACTACTTGTTCTAGAGCTACCCAACCAAGAAAATACTGCAAAGCTTTAGCCAAGTCTTGTACCACCTGGGTTTAATTTGATGATATTTTGAATATGTCTGAATTCTGGTTGTATAAATACAAGTTGTCCAGGACACCTTGCAAACCTGGCTCACGACAACCCAAGATATCACCCCTTTCTCAGGTGCTTGGTGCTTGGCTGGGACAAATCACTTGAGTGATGCACTTGCCACTGCGGGACTTGCACGTCTCTCTACTGACACTTTGGTGGCTGGGACCCTTTTTCAAGCCCCAATCGGGCGATGCTGAAAGTCCAACCTTTTGGCAGCCCCGCGATGTTATCAACCCCATGATCCTCCGGACCGGCTTCTTGTTCCTAGTTCCTGGTAACTTCTTGCTCCTAATAGTACGTAAGGCCAGGAGCCCCTAGTAGCAACCTTGCTCCTAGTAGCGATGCCCTTTGCTCCTACAAGTAGTAGCTTCTTGTTATCAACCCTCCGGACCCGGCGCACGTGCTTCCACGGCGCGTGCCGCGCGCTCGTTCCGACTCGTGCCCAGCGGCCAGGGCCCACATAGAGACGAACCTCGCAGTTGGCCTCGACGGGCCGGCTGCTCCCAGGGTCCATTCGCAGAACTGTGTGTCCCCTGAGGGTTTGATTAACGAAATCCTTAGGAAGTGTCCCAAATCCAACAGTTCATCAGGAAACCACATGCTTCTGACACCTTCTGAAACAAAGATGGTCTTGCTTGTAGAGGATGATCAACTCCAACCCTGCAAATTGTGTCTGGTGGGGAACCAGTAGTCTCTCAACTGATCCTGAAACAATGGCTACATGGCCTGCAAGGACATTGGAAACCCGTGGCGAAAACCAAGTCATCTGCAAATCTTACTGCGGGCGATGCAAATATGTGTATATATATATATGTGTGTGACTTAAAGAATCGATGCCGCCAAAGGCTCGGTGATGTTGCAAATACAAACAAAAAGTACAAAAAGGTGTATGGATATGGACAATGACGGACCCTGAACAATAAAGTTTAACTGTCTTTATCATATGGATATCATCTGGAAGAAAGCAACAAACACGCTCTGAATGGACCACAGAAACCTTCCAAGTGGCCTGATGGGCACGAAAGGCGAAGCCTGCAAAGCAAACGATGTCAAACTGCATTGTTTCTTTCGCAACAATGGTATCAAGGGCTCGTAGAAACAGTTCTTTCCATGGTTCATCTCAGACTCAGACTCTGCATGGCCAGATCCCAGATACCAAAACAGCGTGGGATTGCGACTTCCATCAAGTGTGAAGGTCAACCCTAACTACAAAGAACTGCATTCATTTTTTCGGACCCTGACACTCCATTTTTCAACCATGACCATGTTAACTCAAATCCCATTAAACTGTACAAATACAGTCAGTATAATACAGTCCATCCGCCGGAAAGCTGTGAACTTGAACTACGCATCCCATGTTGCTAGTGTTGCCCCCACACCTCATGACTCTTGATTTGAGTACTGGTCATGGATCCATGCCTGAACCTCTCTGAATCCGTCTCAGGTGGGGCAGCTAATAAATCCATCCTGGGTTCGATGATTGTCTTCAACTTGATAGGTTCCTTACGGTTCCTTCTGAAGTCTAAGAACATCAAAGAAGAAAGCCCACGAAGAACATCCTGAAGCCGCACGTCCCTCCAGCGCCACAAGCTCCAGCCACATCCTCACGTCGTCTCGTCGCGACGAGAGACGTCGCCTTCGATGGAGCTGCGCAGCATCTCCGCCCCGCCCACCGAGATCCACAGCCTTGGACCAGCACGGACGCCAAACCACCGTGCGATCAGCGGCCTCTGAAGCATGTGTTCTTTGGGGGAAGATGTCCTGAAGCTCGGTTTCCTTTGGTCATAATGTGTTAAACTAGATTCTAATAGGGCATTAAGTCTATCAACTGTCACCCTACCTCACATACCTGGTTACATACTACTACTTGCGGATGGACGGGACTTTTGCCGGAGTCGATCGCTCCTGACTACCAGCTAGTTTTGCTCAACCTTGGGTTGTGGCCACATCCAACAACAGCCAATAGAATCATAGAATAGAATATATATATATATATATTCACATCAAATATTTATGAGTTGGTGTGCTCCCTCATAGTCAAATGCCACAATATCATGCCTAACCGTACGTTCGGACCCCAACTCCTGACGCATCCTCTCATCGCTGTTCCTCTCCGTGTCGAACCAAACTGGGACCATTCCAACCACCTGAAGAAATAGTTAAAATAAACCAAAACCTACGCCTCCAGCAACACTCCTCCACACCTCCTAAACATCAGGTTGCCAGTTGCCACACCCATGTTTGGCCAATCCCCACAAAAATGGTTATTAGCCGGTGACTGAGCTAGTGGGCAAGGAAACTTGAGATAAATGCTCAATTGGCAAAAGTCCTTGATTTTTACCTGGTGGACATCAGTGTTTTCTCAAAGGCTGAAGGGGTATGTAAGGTGGGATCGGTAGTTTGATCAGATATCTGAAGTTGTAACCCCTGAAAAATAGGCTTAAATACAGACGACCACCGTTCCCTTGCTCGCACCTACATCCTCCCTCCAACATCTTCCCTCTTCCAACTGGTGCAAGCTGTCATGTAAAGGAAAGTATGCCAAGGATATTCCCTGAGGTGACGAAGGCTCTCTGTCTCTCTTTACTCCCCTTGGTGTCCCATGCGGCTGGAAGTGGATCTTTAAACATCTTTGGAGCTTGTCATGCCAAATGAGCGGTAGATGCTTGTCATGTACCGCATCATGAGTGCGGTTCTGCATGTCTTTTCTTGTTTTGTCTTTGTCGTCTCTTTTTGCACTCCAGCAATTTGCTGATGCCACGTGCTGGTCCACGCCGTGAATCTTCAGAGATCCGAAGAGTTTCAATCTGTGACCGTGGCAAATGGAACCTCATGGAAGCCCTAAACACACACCTGCTACAGTATATAAATACATCTAATACTAGGAGCATGGACGCCACAAACGGGGCTCCTGGCATCGCTACTAGGAGCGTTCGGACGCTACGAACGGGGCTCCTGGCCTTACTACTAGTAACAAGAGGCTATTAGTAAAGAAAGCTACTAATGTAATCTAATATCACCAAATGTGCCGTGTCTTCACCGCTGGCACCGGCCAAGGCGCGGCGGCAGCGCGCTCAGCTGCTGCGTGCTCGCGTGCAGCGGGGCCACCAAGGGGTCGGAATGACTGGCGCCTGCAACCGTCATTGGTTCAATCGAAACTGCTTCGTGCAATTCTTCGACCCAGCAACGCTCCATCTCTTTTTCAAAGCCTAGTGATATCACATGAATATCATTCCGTATAGGTTAGTGGAGGGGTGCAAAACTGCAAGCTTATTCTCACCAAAAAGTGTCTGCTAGACTTGTCTTCCAGAATCTGAAAGGCCTGATGTGTACATCGAAACGAATTGCTCCATCATGGATCTCTGACCTGAGCTGTTTGGGCGAGAAATTCTCAAAGGATAGTAAGCCAATTTTTTGAACCAATCAGAGAGTCCCTCATGTGGTGTCGGCTTGAAAAGAGGTAGAGTTGGCAAAGAAAAAGTGCAGCATTTGCTTGGTGGATCTTGGTGGTTGTTACTGCTGTGAGCAAACTTGCATTTTTAGAAAGAGGTCCTGCGCTGATCATGATCAAAAACACATATGATTACATACTCATACTACACGGATATCAACACTATGAGATGCGTTTGTCATCATGTGCTGGAAGCAAAAAAAGAACTATGTCCGCACTACTTATGTCCCAATTGAACTGCAAAATCCTGCAGGAACTCCACAGTTCACACTCACACGAATAATGTGCAATGGATAAAGACTGTAAACAATTTGTTTCCATGCGATTTCATGCGAACAGAACACCATTTCGGAACGATTAGAACACCTTTGCTTTATGGCGTGAAGTCAGTTGATTGGATATAAGCAAAATCATACTGGATGGCCTAGGACCTAGGACCTAGTTTGCTGTGGTTCACCAGTTGCCTGCCACCCAATGATTCGTATATATAACATTATAACATGTCAATGTGTACATGTAATTGTATATATGGTGGTTGATCTAAATTCTTCTTACGAAAACACAACTGTTCGCATGTTAAAAACCTTGCGATAATCTGTCGTAAGCTCCATGTTAAACTTTCGGGAGGGGGGATATCCTAGAAGTCGTCTGTTTCCACATGTGTATATATATATAGAGAGATTTGTCTTTGCCGATCGTTCGCGAACAAATCTTTACTTTCAAAATTGAAAACAATGCGGGCAACATAAAGGGTTCTCAATGAACCTAGGCCTGGACCTTTTGATCAACTACCATGTACACTACGTTGAATGGATTCTCACGCTCTAGGCAGGCAATGCCAATGTGGTCTATAACATGCATCAATCAGCGAAGCTGCCAATGTAGTCATAAGGCGCATTGTCTGTCCTGGTGCGATCTCAGGAAAATTTCGAGTGATTGTAGCATGTGACTGTGAATGAATATGGTTGATGTATGTTGTAAGTCACCTCTTTCAAAAAACGTCCTTAGTTTGTGCCGTTTTTGCAGACCTTGACGTACTATGACCATGTCCATCCATTTCCGAGTCACTGTCAAAACTTAAGAAACTACTGAGTTCCCCCCCTCGACAGCCAGGCTCCAGGATGGGGACGAAAAGGGCAGCATCTCCACCCATGGGCTTAGCAGCACCTTGGCACAAGTCGTCCCGATTGGGGAGTCTTGGCTGCAAGAGAACTGTCACCAACCGTTGGTGGAGCACTCTGCTGATGGTGTAAGGTTGTCAAGTTTCAGAGGTTTTTCCTGAATAATGGATCAAACCCAGCCAAACAAACAGTCACGGAGCCGCATCACATGTCGATTCGGGCGGTGCCTTGCACCATCGGGTGTGGCGGAAATGTCGCTGGACCGTCTAATCCACCGGGCCCATGCTATCCAATGACATGTCCTCACACCCAGCTGATCAAGAGCCAAAACGTGCAAAAAAACTCGCCAGAAAAATCAAAAGCAAAAAAACACAAAAAAAACAAACAACAGAAACCAAAAACCACCAACGTTGTTCAAACACAAGCCGGCTTGCAATTCAGCCAAAAGATTGAAATGACATGACATGTTCCAAATGAAGCCCCCGCCACCCTTCAACAGAGCCAAGGAGCCGCCCCGGCCGGCATGGACGAACCTCTGGCCTTGCGATGTGCGAGTTGGAGAAGTGTTTGATGTTAGTATTTGTTGATCTACTAGTAGGCCAGGAGCTAGTAGCGTCCTTGCTCCTAGTAGTAATGCCAGGTGCTACTAGTAATTTTTTGTTACTGGAGTATTTAATAGTATTTGTTGATCTTTGTTGGTCTTTGTGGTGCTTGTAATTATTTTAGTTTGTTTGCCTGTCTTTTCCCCTGGGTGGCGAGCGCTATTGGGGCTCTTGCTTCAAGCATGGGAAGAGGTGCTTGTGTGCGCTTTGGAGTTTGGGCGCTGGTGCCGCTGCAGGGTGTCGATGCAGGGTGTTGCTGCCAGATGTCTCTGGCAGTGGAGCGTGGGTGGTGATGCCGCTGCAATTTGCTGTTGCTATCTGGGGTCTATGCTAGCGTAATCGTTTTACATTGCGTCGGATTTCAGAAACACAGTGTGTACAATAGTGTGTATCTAGATCCCTTGCCAAAGATTCCTGGATGACCAAGCAATGCCCAAGCAAATCAAGATGTCTTTCGTCGTCTGTCAGTTTCTATGGAATGATGTAGTACATCGGGAAGTGGGACAGTTGGATATGTGATATGGTGTTCTGAGACCCCCCCGAACAATTTGGGGGCGCCCACACGACCTCTACCCGGGCGGGGCTCGCGGGGGGGCATCACTACCACTACTTCTCGTAGCACAGAATCCCTCTTACAACCTCTCGTAGCACAGAATCCTGCTCAATTGCCTCCTAGCACGACAACCACTACTTCTCGTAGCGCAGAAACCCTCTTACAACCCCTCGTAGCACAGAATCCTTCTTAATTAGAACAGGATCCCTCTATGCCGGGCAGGCCCCGGCAGGGGGGAACGACTACTACTACTTCTTGTAGCACAGAAACCCTCTTACAACCCCGCGTAGCACAGAATCCTTCTTAATTGCCTCGTAGCTAAAGAAGCCTTCTGACCAGCGGGCCGGGGGGGGAGCACGAGTACCACCAATCCCGATTACATCCCCTCGTGGCACAGAATCCTTCTTAACTGCCTCGTAGAACAGGATCCCTCTACCCCAGGTAGGGCCCCGGGGGGGGACGACTACTACTACTACTACTACTACTACTACTACTACTTGTAGCACAGAATCCTTCTTGCAACCCCTCGTAGCACAGAATACCCCTTACAAGCCCTCGTAGCAAAGGATCCCTCTACCCACCCGGTCCCGGCAGGGGAGAGGGCGCGATTATCTGTGTTTTTCTTGCTGCTGTATAGTGGTTGCTGCTGTTGCTGTTCCACAGTTGTTTTGGCATTCATTCATTAATTTGTCAATGGTTGCTCTTGACAAATTGACAAGATGAAAAGATAAAGTCTAACAATTTCATCTAATTTTTTCGAAGTGATATCTTGAAGACTGAACATGAGGGAAAATAGAGTTTAACAATTTCATGTAAGTTTTGGGAAGTGATATCTTGAAGACTGAACATGAGGGAAAAGATAGAGTTTAACACAATGTCATGTAAATTTTGGGAAGTGATATCTTGAAGACTGAACATGAGGTAAAAGAGAGTTTAACAATTTCATTTAAATTTTGGGAAGTGATATCTTGAAGACTGAAAATGAGGGAAAAGATAGAGTTTAACAATTTCATGTAAATTTTATACATTGGGAAGTGGTATCTTGAAGACTGAAAATGTTGGTTTCAAATATGAAATGCTCCGCACATCACTTGAATGAGTTTCAAGGCGCATTACAATTCAGAGAAGGCCCGACGAGACCCGGCGGATTTTTGCTGGGTCTTGTCGGGTCTTGGTTTAAAACTTCGTGTAAAAGCAAAAGCAAGAATGCCTTTAAGCTGTAACTGTAGCCGCTGAAAACATATTTCCTTTTCTCTTGCACGCTCTTTGCACTTATGGCAAAATTGTGACACCAACAACCTACACACATATCACAAAGCATCGCGGTGTTCAAGGCTGCTCCTGCTCATGGGCCGCGAATTGATTCCAGTGACCATATGGCCGGGTTGAACTTGAGCTCGATGTCAGAGTCATCATCCTCTGAAATGTGCATCACCATTCGACGAAGCAGCTTCTTTGGAGGATCCACCACATGTTTTTTGCGTTTCTCTATCCAAGCCCTGTGCTTCACCACCCATGGCACGAACTTTTTGGAGGGCATCGAAGAACGCTCTGTTGAAGGTTGGCTGTATGAACCACTCTAATGAGCGCAGCGGTTAGTTTGGGTGGGTCGTTCAAAAACTGTGAGCTGATTTTTTTTCAAGTGTCAATCATACAAGTCACCCCCTTGTCACATCATGCAAAACTGCACAGTTGCCAGATCAGAATCAACGTGGTCACTTGTCAGTTGATTTTGTTTTTTTCACGACTGTCTTGGCACTGCCCTGCAAGGCCCTGCAGAGCAGGGCCTTGCAGGGCATTGTCAATTGTCAGTCTTGCAAGCAGCAACGCCATGCAGTTCAACTTTTTCCCATCAGCGACTAAGCGTGAATGCTTTATTAATTACAGCCGTCTTAGGCCGAAAATCGCCCAGTGTTGCACCAATCTCACTCTTTGAGAAGTTCTGGACCAACTCGTCGATCAAGACCTTAGGCCATGCCTGTAGAGCGCCGATCTCCCACAAGTTCATCCACCGTTTGAGGGTCACAATGTAGTAACGTCCATTGGCTCGCATACTTCAGGCTCGCACCACCATCGCAGCTCAGCATTTGCTTGCCATTGGTGTAGACGCTTTCATTCCATTTTTCTGGCTGCGGCCCAGGACGCATTGCGCTCATGGCTTAGTTGCGTTTATGTAACGTTCACCTCATTTGGCATTTATATTCATGACAAGTGGCTTTGAAAAATGAATTATCTCAATGCAAATATGTGCAGGTGCCAAGCTAAGTTTTCCAAGTGATGTGTGTGTGAATAAACTCTGCTTCAAAAATACATGGATTTGATTGA